CTTATTTATGCAGTACTGTAATTTTTCCTGGCTATACTGTATAACATAGTACTGTAGTTTCATTTTCTGTTATATAGTACAATACTGCATGTAGGAGTTATGCAAATAAAATCCAAGTAATCAAGTTGGAATTTTCTTTGACTATTTCTTTGTTCTGAATATTGTGATGTATATACTATATATAATTCTTCATTTAATGACAAAGTCATTTAATGACCTAGCCAGAGGAATGGAACTCAGTCACTAAAGGAGGAGTGGCCTACTGTATGATCCCAACTATACGACATGCTAGAAAAGGAAATAATATGGAGACAGTAAAAATACCAGTGTTGAAGTTTTAGAGAAGGAAAGAACAAGAAGGTGGGATACAGGAGATTTTCAGAACAGTGAAGTAACTTGATATGATAGTACAATGGTAGATAAACAACAGTGTATATATGGTAAAATCCACAGAATATACCAGACCAAGAGCAAACCCTAATGTAAACTATGAACTTTAGGAGATGATGATATGCCACTGTGCTTCATCAATCGTAACAAAAGTACTACTCTGGCATGGAATGTTGATAGGGAGGGAAGCTCTGTGTAACAGAAGCTGACAGGAGATGTATGGGAATTCTACACTTTCTGCTCAGTTTTTCTATGAACTCATTCTTCTAAAAAGTATCAAGTGCTGAAAATAGCTCAGTGGTAGAGCATTTCCCTAGCATGCATCAAGGGCCTGGGTTTCATTCCTAGCACATACAGTCTATGAATTAAGAAAAAGCCATCATTTAACTTCCTTCCAACTATTCCCATGCCCCTTTACAAACAAACATGTTAGAAAGCTTCTATTACTGCTCACCAGGACTTCTATAATAGGCCACTCTTCCTGTGTAAAACCCTCATCATCTGTCATCCTTTAGAGTCCAAAATCCTTACCAATCATTCTGGCCCATGTATTTCTCTTCAAACCTCACCATGCACACTGTATCCTTTACTATGTATCCCTTTGCACTAAATGCTCCTTCATTCTTTTTAGTCTTTCAGATCTTAATCTAAATTAAACTGCTTTGTAGTTACCCCCCACAAACCTTGTATTTTTTTACTGGTGTTATATAATCAATTATAAACAAAAAAATTGTGCAAATATTTATTTATTGTACACCTCTCAAATTTTAAGCTTCTTGGGGTTAGAGATCCATCTAACTTATGCTTATGTCCTTAGTCATCTAAGAAACACGGTACATTGTGGGTTAAATAAATTTACCAATGTGTGTATAACTCTAGAGGGACCTTGTCCTTGGTTTGCTGTCACCACTGACAGGGGAGATATTTTAAAACAGAAATGCTTCCTTGCATATTTTATGTCATTTTGCAGGCAGCCTTCCTAAGGTCATCATCAACTCTAAGAGGGAAATATATATAGTTTTGGGGTATTCTAATCATTTGGTGACAGAGCAGAAGTCCATTTAACAGACAAATACTTTAAACTACAGATTAAAGAAAACATTGCTTCTGCAAATTCACAGTCCATTTTTTAAGCAAAAGCAATGACATCAGTCTTATATATTATTAGGCAGTATTTTACGTAAGAGGAGACAATTAAATTATGGATTCTTTCAAAATAATACAAATTCTATACAGCTAACATGAAAGACTGAATTGTACAATATTTATCAAATATTAAGTATCAGAAGTATTGAACTACAGATGACAACAATAAATTACCACAGATATTAGTATCTCTTTGCTCTAGAGACTATGCAATACAATTCTCAAACACAGTCCCTGAAATCCAATTCTGTAACTCTTCTACCATAAGCCAATCATAAAGTAGAGCGTATGTTTCCTATCAGAATAACTGAAAGTTCTGTTTCTGACAAAACACACCATCTGGCACGGTGGCTCATGCCTGTAATCCTAGCACTCAGCAGGCTGAGGCAGGCGGATCATTATGAGTTAGAGACCTGCCTGGGATACAAAGTGAGTTCAAGGCTGACCTGAACTGCATAGCAAAACCTTGTCTGAAAAAGACAAATACATAAATATATAAAAATAAAAAACAAAATAACCCACACAATGTAAAATAAATTTGCACTAGATCAACGAGTGTGACAAAAAGCTATAAATCAGTAAGTATAAACTCTGTAGCACTTTTAAAATGTAAAATTATTCTTCAAGTTTTACAATGTAAGCATAAACACATTTTACATGCCAATAATATAAGATGTCCTCATACTCTACAGAACTATACAATGAATCCAAAATTCAAGTATATCACACATTTGAAGTTGTAGTAACCCTGATAGCTACATTAAAGGAAAGTGTGTGTTAGAAAGAGTGAAACAAGATCTCTCTTATTAATAAGTTTCACAGAGCAAAAAACATGGTATTACGTGTACTTTTTATAGTCCGCAGTAACTTTTGTCCACCACTAGATGGTACTATCAGCTTCAGAAATCTAGGTAATAAAATGGGGCCAGTTACATGGATCAGTGTGTATTAATCATCCCTCCTAAAGATCTCCAGTCCCAGTATGCTCATATTCGTGCACTAATCAGATCACAAGTTTCAGTCCTCAGCTGTTAACATCCATGGTCACGGCAATCTTAAAAGTGCATTGAATAGATATACTGTCAAAATCTGAAGTAATCAAAGGTAGGAAAACACAAACTTTCACAAAAGATTTCTGAATTCAATTGTAGAATCAGGTGAAGAAAAAAAAGAAAAAGTCTACAAAGGCTTTTGATTTATACTTTATGAGCTCAAAGGCATTTTGTTACTATTTATCTAGTTTGTTTATCTTAAAGGCTAGTATTTACAGAAGACTATTATTTAATTTTAAATTTTTATATTTTAATTGCACATATCTATGAAAGTGCAATAATTTAATACACATGTAATGATCAAATAAGGGTAACCAGCACTTTCACCTCCTTAAATATTTTTAAATTTTTTGGTTAGCATAACATAGTTGTGCATATTTATAATACATTGTATTATTTCATTATGTGGTATAAAATCCATGTAAGTTTTTTTTTTCCTTTTGACAGCATTAGGGATCAAACCCAGGGTCTCACATAGGCTAAGGAAGTGCTCTATTACTGAGTTACATTCCCAGGCCATGGTTATATTTTAAACCATACTTTAAATATTTAGATTAATCTGGAGTCCAGAAATGAACAGGGCTAAGAAAGTAGCTTAGTAGCAGAACACTTCCCTAGCATATGCAAGGCCCTGGACTCAACTCCCAGTACTGCAAAAAAAGTGAAAACAATATTATTTTGTATTATGAAAGCCATGATTTAAGATACCAAAAAGGACCATCAACTTTAATATGTTAACACCAATAATATAGGTTAGTTTTTATAAAATAAACAATTTCCTAAAACAATAGTGCTCAATCCATATAAGTTCTAGGCAACATATTCTCACAAGCTAACAAAAATTTTAAAGATCTTTAACCTAAATGAAAGAATAGAACAATCTCAGATTAAATCTAAGCCATTTCATATTGCTAGTAAAAGAATCAAAATCATTTGTTTGAAAGTCTGAAACAAGTCAGATTTCAATCTGAGAACTTACTCATTTTAAAGGCCAACTTGATATGTGTGTGTGTGTGTGTATTTATTTATATATATAATCTAAGAATATAGTGAATGTTTAAATTAAAAAAACAAATCTCAGCACTTGAGGCTGAGGCAGGAGAATCATTTGCAAGTTCGAGAGCAGCCTGGGTACAAAGTGAGCCCAAGGCCAGACTGAACTGTATAGTGAGACCCTGTCTCAAAGACAAATTAAAAAATAACAACCAATTTTTAAAAATTGTTACAGGAAAAGACACATTGCCATTACTTTCCCTCAAAATACTCCTCACTTTGAGCATTGTCATTCCATCATTCTTGCTACTTTCTAAAGCAGTTCTGGAAATCTTCTTTCCTATGTGTCTTAGTTGTGCTGTCACAGCTGCCTTGCTATCTTAAATCAACTTTATTTACCTTTCATGATCATTTTGACTTTGGGGAAGACCCAGAAGTCACACAGTGCCAGATCTCATGAATAAGGTAGATAAGGACACACTATCTTTCTGTAAACCTGGCTTCCCACTGAATGACATGCAGCAGCAGCATTTAGCATACTGGTGATCATATCTAAAGACACAAAAGAGAACTTCCAGAATGCTTCAGAAAGTGTCAAGGTAATTGCAATGTACCTTTTACTATTTTGTTACACTTCATATAAAACATGACTAACCTGATTTTGTTTAAATTTAAGTGAAAAAAAACTATAAAATAATTTTCTTTTCAAAATTTGGTTACTTACACACATCTGTATTTTGTTAAGTATGGTAGTATATCCCCTTATCTGCAGGGTATATGTCCCAAGACTCCCAGTGGTGGCCTGAAATCATGTATAGTACCAAACCCTAAAAATAGTATTTTTTTCCTATATAAACATAAGTATAATAAAATATAATTTAGAAATTAGGTACTGCAAGAATTATAAACAATAAAAATAAAATAGAACAATTATAAAAACTTTCTGTAATAGTTATTTAATACTAAGAAATTGTTTACTTCTGGAAACTTCATCTAATAATTTTGAACTGTGGTTGAGCAGAAGTAACTGAAACCAGAGAAATAGAGAACTATGCATGGAGGGGAGAGCTACTATAGAACAGTATGAATAAAACTTTAACAGAAAGTCTGATGATTACAAAAGGAAGACTGTAATCCCAAGTACCTCAAGCATTCACAAGATCACATTCTCTTTTGTTACCTGTATAGAAATGTATCACCATTTCAAAGTAAAATAAATTTTCAGTATATATTTTATTAAACTTCAGCATAAATTCTTTTAAAATTCAGAATTCTTTGCTATGTACATTAGGCGAACATAATGATTTTCTCAATTCTTGTACAAATATTTAATATTGAGATCATTTTAAAAAATTAAAATAGGATAATTATTTATATTGTACTCAAATTCCCTCTTGAAAAAGTGGCTACATGACATACCTTCAGAATTATGTGTAGTTTTCTTATGTTTTCGACAATAAACCCTAAAAAAAGAAAAAATTAAAAACTGTCAAGTAAGAAAAGTAAATTGAACTTTATTTTCAATTAAGAAAATGAGTAGCACACTTCACTCCATTAACAAGTTGGCTCTAAAAGTCTTATTATGAAACAAACTTTTGTACCACTGTCTAATCATTGAATTCCTTATAAAAACACATGATGATGTTGATGACGAAATGCTTTGAAATGGTAAAATTTTTAAAAAGTGCCAAAATTATGAGTTTAAACAACTTAAGGGGAAGTTAAGTAATTACATGTAAATTCCTTGTGAAGGTTTCTCTCGTATTTGAGCTTTATCATGCAATGCACAGTGGTAGTGGTATGTCCTGTGACATGTTTTCACATCACAACCAATTGTCGCTCCAGGACAGTGGCACAAAGAACACATCTACAGAAAAACAACAAAACATATTATTAGCATGTAATTTTGCTAAGACATTAGGCTAGAAGCGTATTCATTTCCAAGAAAATTTTTAAGAAAAAAAAAACTTGTTATTGAAAACTTTTTAATTCATAATGGTATTTTCTTTATTTTTCTTAGAAATAACTTGAATAAAATTTTTCTGGAGAATGTTACAAATGTATGTTATTTCACTGTGGTAAAGAAAAAACCTGCAATACTGAAACTCAGAGATGTGAGCTATACATAACCTTGTAATCGTTTATAAGGTAGATGTTTTCTTGCATTCTGAACCTTGGATATGAGCGACCAGGAAAAACATCTCCATTAAAAGTGCCACAGAGTATGTGGCTCTGGCTTAGTATGCACAAAACTCAGGCACTGATGGCCCAGTACCATAAAACAAACAAACAAACAAATAAATGAAACACAAAAAGTAAAACTGCCACTTAAAGTTAGGAGAGGGGAAAAATAATAATAATTATTATTATTATTATTGAGACAGTGTCTTGCTGTGTAGTTCAGGCTGGCCTCACACTCATCATGATTCTCCTGCCTCGGCCTCCCAAGTGCTAGCATTACAGACATGCACCACCTTGCCCAGCTCAAGACATAGCTTTTAAATACCTTGAATTCTGGACTATTTTGTGATATCAAATTGATTATATTAAGGAAACATTCATATTTTTCAGTCTATTGAAGCCCTTTCTTTTTTTTTTTTTTGGTACCCAGGGACTGATCACGACCTCACACTTGCCAGGAAGATGTTTATGCCACTGAGCTAAATCCCCAGCCCCCATATACTTCAGTTTAATCTATGTCACTTAACCTGTTTTTTTGTTACTGTTTCTAACTTTTCAAAAATTGTCACTTACCTCTTGCATTTGGAATTCAGGTGACCAGGGTCTTTCAACATATTTTAATACAGTTTACCTTCTCAATTTATTAGAACATTCATACTGATTAACTAGCTCATGCTCTGTATGTAGGAAAAATCTTTTTTAAAAGCACGTAAGAATGATTGTTAACAGTTTTGTTTCACATACCATAGTATACTATATACCCAGTGTACTTTTAGTGAGATATCTCTTAAGGTGTAAATGTCACACCAAAATAAATTCATAATAAATCTAAAAAACAATTTGCTTCTTAGTTGTTAGATACTCTGTTCTAAATTACTCTCATTCCTCTTCATTAATTATTATTTTTCTGGTACCAGGAATCAAACTCATGACCCCATACTTGCCAGAAAGACATTTGTGCTGCTAAGCTAAATCCCCAGCCCTCCTTTTTATTAATTTAAATGCAAAGAACACTTAGCATCTGAACATTTGAATTAGTTGGCCCCTACGCAATTCTGGTATATCAAATTTCTAATAACTATTTCAATAAAAAGAAAGCCAAACACTCAAACTCACTCAAGGCTTCATTTAAAAAAAATTCAAGTGACCAGACATGGTGCTGCATGAATGCAATCCCAGCACTGCAGGAGGCTGAGGTAGGAGACTGGAAGTGCAAGTCTAGCCTGAGCAATTCAGTGACTTAGGGAGAGCCTGTCTTAAAAGATAAAAAAGGGCTGGACATGAAGCTCAATACAAATGTCCTGCATTCAACACCAAGTACAAATGAGTAAGTAAATAAATACTCCCATGTGTAAGTCAAAAGCACTCCTCAGGTGTAGGTACTGCCCAGAAAATGCGAGGGCTGATAGCCTTCTTTTCGTGTGTATGGTGCTGGGAAAAGAACACTTGGCCTCTTGGCAAATACTCTACCACTGAGCTACATGCCCAGCACAGTACCCATTATTAATACTTGAGAAAAACCCCACTTCCTTAAATAAACGAATACTGTGCTAAATTATCAAGCATACAAAACTTTTGTATGGCTTATAAAGTTAGGGAAGTACAGCACTTGTACTTAGCTTAATTATGAAGTTCTATTATTTCAGTAAACATTTCTGATCAGAAAACAAAAATTTTGGGAAACATAAATGAGCACAAACAAGTTTTAAAAATCACTCATACTTCATATAAAAAGAGACACCTGACAATGCTATAGGGCTTACATGATGAAAGTATTTTTCTATAGATTTCTTGATATTATTTTGCAATCTAAGTTTGAACATAAACTTTATCTCATTTCATTAACCAGTCTACTCCAAGCAGTTCATCTTGAAAATATATCTAAAATGGGTTTGGATAGATACATTTTGAAAAACCTGTTGAATTCTTGCTATTAAGTTAGCAAGTAATACTGAAAAGAGAGGCACTGTCAAAATTATTGTCACAGATATGGTGAGACGGGCGTTCCTGAATACTGCCAGAAATTGGTCCACATGCTCAAGCACCCTCTCTGCTTTATTTATCAGACAGCATTTGTAAAAGTTTACCTCCTCCGATGTTTATTTGACTTGTATAAATTTAGTCTAAAAATAACTAGTTTATATATCAACTGCAGATTCAGAATGGCCACAAACAGAAAATGGAAAACTTAAAAATGTTTAAATTATAGTACATCCATCTGAAGGAATAGTCTATAGATATTCTTCAAAGAAATTTATGTAAAGGGAAAGGTTTATATATAATATTAAATGAAAACTGAGACAGGAGACAAAAGTAAATGAATTATTCCAATTGTTACATTCTTTGAAAACAGGTGAGGCAAGCCGGGTGTGATGGCTCATGCCTATAAATTCAGAATTTGCGAGGATGAGGCATAAGGATGGCTGTGAGTCTGAGGCCAGCCTGGGTTACACAGTGAATTCAGGGTCAGTCTGAACTACACAATGAAACCCCGTCTCAAAAAACAAACACACATACAAGGAACCAGGTGGAGGCAGGAAGTGGAGAGAGTGGGGGTAAGGACGCTGAAAATGATCAAGATCTGTATGTTATATACATGTACCAATTCCCCCACATGAAAGTAGTATTATATATTATGAATTTATATTGATTTTAAAATGAAAGAAAACAGGCGGAAGTAAATATGGCTGAGTGGCAATCTCTGGGTAGTTAGTTTTCTTCACAGTACCTTCATTTTCTCATTTTTCTACAACATACACAAGTGCTCTGTTATACAAAAAATATTTTAAAAACATATCAGGAATATTTTTAGCAGATGGATTCAGTATCTACCTTTCAGTTTGGTGAGAAAGAGAAGGTAACTGAAAGCTCAAAATATATCAAAATGGTTTTTGGGCTGGTAATAAATTAAGATCTCCCAAAAGTAACTAGTTTAAACTGCTATGGCAAAATAAATCCATTTTAGTTAGTTAACTAGTTAACTACAGCAATATAGGGCACACAAAATGTTTTTAAAAGTGAGTAGAAGCTAACTTTATTTTAATTGTCACTTTCATTATAAAAGAAAGAGAAAGGCATACTACAAATATTTTCAGCATACAAAACTCCTCTTAAGGGTAGACATTTTGCTGAATTAAAATTCATAGCATCTACTTTAAATAGCATTTATATACAAGCAGTCAAGTTTCTGGCAGGGTATTAACAAGATAGCAAAATTTATCAATAATAAAACTAAAATTTGCTTAGCTAGAAATTACAAAAAGCAAGTATTATCTCAACCATTTTATTCCCTTATGTGACCTATTTTTAATCAATATACAGAATGTATTCATCAGTTCATGTACCTTATGAAGTAGTTAGTGCTCTATAAATTCTGTTCATTATGGTATTGGAGAATTTAGTATCTTACTGCATATTTTTTTTCATTCATGGTTTTAACTGCTGATTTTACATAATTATATTTGGGCACATCTAAAATATTATTTATAAACCATCTGATTTGGGATTGGAAAGCTGAATTTGGGGGAAATAATCCAGTTAAAGAGAGATAGAATGAATGGTGGCAACATCATTTGGTCCTTTATAGAAATAAGCTAAGAGAGATTAAAAGGAAAATTAAAGAAACTGGGAAACCAGACAGGTAGCTGGTAGTTTTTAAAAATATTAATGAGAAATAAAACATAGAGGACTTTTCTAGAAAAACACCTAGGAAACAGGATCTTCACCCAGCAATGACCAGGACCACCACCGTCACAGCAAGCCACTAGTTGGCTGGACCCCCATAATGGTGTTCAGAATTGCCCTTTGCATCAAATATTTGCTCAGTCTCAATTAATACCTCAGCAAAATGACTGTCAGCTGCCATTTATCAACATGCCTGCACTGTAACCAGGGCACCCTCAAATATGAAAAAAATAAAACGTTAACCTGACAGGAACATGTTTTTTAAGAAAAATGGTAGCCCTTCTTCCCTGCCCCAAAGGTCTGACCCATCTATCAGCTATCCTGTTGACAGCTAATTTCCTTCCTAAAGCACAGGTATAAATGTTAATTAATTAGCTTCTCATATGCTAATTTCATGTTCTTGTTTTAAAGAAGCATAAAGTTCACTGATAATGATTTTTTTTTTTACTTTTAATCCCCACTTCCTTTTGCTACGTAGATCTAGTTTAATACCAGCTCCAAATTAGGGAGACCGGAAAATGAGGCTCTGGTTTTTTTTTGTTGTTGTTTTTTTGGTACCGGGGATCGAACTCATGACCTTGCACTTGCCAGGCAGGCATTTATGCCGCTGAGTTAAATCTCTGGCCCTGAGGCTCTGTTTTATTACAGATACAGTATCTCTATAATACTGTCAGTATTGACACTAATTTAACAATTAAGTTGAGATATACAAAGGCTTAAGTTGCTGACATACAGATGAGAGAGGAACTAAGTCACACATGAGAAGAGATACAAGAATGCAATAGACACACTTAGCTTAAGTACAGGAGGAACCAGAGACTGTGAGGTACCTGCTCCTCTGTCAATCAAACTAGGCCAAGCCTGAAATTCAGTTTTCAAAACGTCTTAACTGCTAAGCAGTACATTTATTTACATACAAGATGACCAAAATTGTGTATTTTTGTTAATTTTTGTAAGATATAACAGGAAAGGGGCTGGGGATTTAGCTCAGCGTCATAAGCA